TAAATAAATAAAAACATGCCTATAAAAATAAAAATAAAAAAAAAAAAAAATGTTTAAAAAAAACCTCAAGGCCTCTGACAGTTTTACTTTATTCACAAAATAAGGGATTTGGCTACATGATCTCTGAATCCTTTTTTCTTTCAGGTAGTCTGTGGTAGACAAGGCCTCAAAGTTCCCCAAGTGATTTGATAAAACATGACTTGGGAATGGACAAGTAAGAGGATGCTGCTCCCGGGCACTCAGCTGCTGGGTGGCAGGATGGGGATGGGTGCCACCCTCTCTGACATATTCTTCTGTGCTTCACACTCCCAGAATGGGTCACACTGACTTATCTGCCCCTCCACTGTGAATTCAGACTTTGCTGGTAGGTGGTGGGAAAAGGTGTCTAAAATATTACTGCAATGGCCTCAGGCTGAACTGGCTGTCAGGTCCCCTGCACCTGCTTCCTCAGTGAGGCCCACAAAGGTTGGTGGGAGCTCTCTAGTCAGTGTTGCTGCTTCACGGGTCTGTCACCGTGCCTGATCCCATGACACCCCTTGCCTGCTAATGTACCTTGGGCTCCTGAGGATAATAACTGCAAAGAGGGGATGAGTAATGCAGTGCTTGTAAAAATATAGGGCCTATGGCTTATGAAACATATAATACAGAATAATTATTGATTCAATCATTTATTTACCCAAAACTATGCACTTGGAAACCATGGTGATCCAATCTTTGTGGTGGTTACTGGGGTAACAATGACCAGAATTCAGTAATTCCAAATAACAGACCACCTTTGCTTAACTTTGGACCTAAGCTGTCCATGTAATGAATAGAAAATGTCATAATTTTCTCTGCTCACAACCCCAGGCCCATGTCACTATCCTCTTATAAAAATCCTACCCTCTGGTTATAACAATTCCCTGAGGAGCCTTTATCTCCTTTCCATGATTTCACAGGCATGGTTTTTTCTCTCCATTAGACATTTCCGGCTTTGTTATTGCATATGGCAGCTTCCACAATTTTCTTTGGAGAGAGAGAAGATGATTTTTTAATTTTGTTATTCAAAAATATGCTTTAACGACAATGAAATCCCACATGCTGATAACTTTAATAAAAAGAAAAATATAGCTACTTGCTTTAAAGAGGTTTCTGAAAAATTCATAATCACAGCTGTTTACATATGGTGCCAGCTCTCAATTATCTATGCTTGAATTATTTTATGGAATATCTGGATAAAATTTAAACCCTAGATTGCTCCTGGCTTATTTTCTAGACTCAAACAGTACTCTTTATTTCAAATTAGTGTATTATCTGTGCATGTGAACTAATTTGAATGACTAAGGAAGCATAAATGCATGCTAAAAATGTTTTCCATAACTAAAGTGCACTTTGCAACCACAGTTTTCTCCCATAATTATAGAAAGCTAAAACTGGCTGAACTGAAAATACTGATATTATAATCAATAAGTTGCATTTGCTATATGCAGAGTAAAACAAAAATTCCAAATCTAAAATCTTTGAAAGCCCTGAGTACTTAGAGCTTTTCCATCTTCAAACTCATAGTAAAGCAAATATTTCAGACATTTTAGTTCTGTCCTGTTCTACAAAGTCCCAATGGGCTTGAAGTAAAAGGAAATCATATCGCTAAAAAGTTAAGACCAAGTCTTAAATAGCATAAAATATTCATAAAGGCATTATAACTTGCATTATATTTTGCAAGGCAAAAAGTAGAAGAGGTTGAATGCCCAGCTCTGAAAACCATAATGTACGTACAACTCCGAGTTCTTTAGTGCTTCTCAGAGTTATTCTACCTTTACCTGTACCCAGTACGTCGTCTCTGCCCAGTGTGTGCTAAAGACATTCTGACCATTGATTTCTTTGCGGATAATTACAAATTCATACCAATCAGCCATTGTGAACAGAAAGCAAAAACCGCAATTCCCGAAACACTTGAACACTGGGATTTTTTGCACCAAAAATCTAATAAAATCACTTGTTATGCCTAAGAAATGTAGATGGATGTATTTTTGATAGTATACTAATTTCTAGACTGTTGGATTTTGTAATTATTTTGGTCAACATAGCAGAATTCAGTTCTGATGTGATGAAATGCACTGGCTAGGGTGTTGCCTGCGTTTTTGCATGTTGTATATGGATGGTATAAGTAAAAGCAAGTTTCTTATCTGAAAACTCATTGAAGTGCATTTGGCTAATGAAGATAGCCCTCAATATCATGGGCTGTGTGTTATTAATCCTTTCCCTCAGTATTCTTTTCATGCTTCCCCAGCAAAGCAGACCTTTCCTTTGTGGGAGGAAGAGGAGAGATGACTGAACTCATATCTAGCAGGGTCTCAGAAAACTGCCCAGATAAGGAAGAATGGTATTTATTTAAAAGCACTGTTTTATTTAAAAATGAAAGATTGAGGGCCTCCCTGGTGGTGCAAGGGGTTAAGCACCCCACTATGAAGTAACCCACAGCCTCTGCAGCACGAGTTCGATCCCAGGCCGGCCAGGGAGCAACCCACATGGTGAGGCAGACCTCTCCTGTCTCACCTGCTGCTCCCCTCAGCAGTGTATTTTGGTCAATCTGCCTGTTCTGTTCCCCTCTCTGTCTCTGGTGAATCCTCTCACCTCCCGCATCTCTGGCCTGTACCCCAGCTCTTGTATGCACAAGTAAATAAATCTTAAAAAAATGAGTATTCCATAATACATTGGACTAAAATTGGCACTGCATGAAGATACATCACTATTTCTAAAGCCTCAAGTCCCCTGGGGTCCTCTTATTCTCCACCTCAGTAAACAAAACATGAAGGTATTTTTGAAATTGTGTGCAGAATGTTAGTAATGTTTGAGTATTCACAGAACAGATTGTAAATATATAAAATTGGGTAGGAGAAAGTTTCAATATCCTCTTTCCTTAGCCATTTTTAAATAGAACAACAACTCTGTGTTTTTTCTAAAATTCACTATGAATAGTCAGAAAAAATTAGCAGGTAAATGTGCAATTTGTAATTTTTGCAATAGTAAATGAATTGCCAACTGAGTTCTTCCCTATGATGCCATTTTGAATTCCTGAATACCGAGAACACTGAGAATTACATTAAGTATGGAATTATTGATGAAGTGTAAGTGTGATACTAGCATTGTGGTCACTTAGGAAAATTGTGATTTGTCAGCAATACAGTGTACTGTGCAGGCAAGTTTGCAGATGAGATGATAGGATGGCTGAGCTGTGATTTGCAAACTTCTGACTCTCCTCCCTCCTTCCACCAAAAGTGTGTGTGGGTTAGTGGGGCTGGGTGAATGAGGATGAAGTTTAAATAAGAAAGGAAAATGTTACCAGTGAATGAAACTAGGTACAAAAAAGAGAAATTTCTCTTCAATTTTGTGTATGTTGAAAATTTTTCATAATACAAATGAAGTACCAAGTGATCAAGTTGAACACTGCAATTCCCTAAAATTAGCAAAAAAATAAAATTAAATTAAACCATATAAAATATTTAAAATATCATAGCAAAACAGCCTCCACAGTGGGTTTCTTGAAATAGACTGTCTTTAATCAAAGTGTTTGTTGGATCTAGTTTTTTTTTTGGCTTTGTGTTTTTTTTTTTAAACCAATTGCAATGAAATAACAGTCAAAATAATTTGTGAAGAGGTTAGAATCCCATTATGACTCTGATTGTAACCCGCTATGCTCCAAATGCATAAAGGCTGAAGGCCTTTGCAATTAGAATGCAAAATAACACTTTGTGTGATAACAAAGACACTTTGTTATCAAAGTGTAGAGTCCAAGAGATGCAACAAGTCCCTTGTTTGCATTCCTGGATGCCCTGCCTTCGGGGTTTATATCTTGCAACCCCTGCTTCCATGAGACCAAGTCTACAGCCTCACATGTCAGGCTTTACTGGAATTAGTAGCATCAGGGAACAATTTTAATAGTGGGGACCATTTTTAGTTAAAAAAGAAATCCTGGGCCTCCCCTGGTGGGGCAGTGGTTGAGCGCTGGGCTGCAAAGCTGCTAGCAGCCTGTGCAGCGCCGGTTCGATCCCCGGCCACCGGCGAGGGTCCCACATGGCACGCAGACCTCTCCTGCCGCGCCCGCTGCTCCCCTCAGCAGTGTACTTGGTCCTTCTGCCTGCTCTGCTCCCCGCTCTGGCTCTGGTGAATCCTCTCACCCTCCCGTGCTTCTGACTGTATCCAGTGCTTGTATAAAAAAAAAAATCTTTAAAAAAAAAAGATGAAATTAAAAAAAAAAATCCTGTAGGCATTTTGTAGTGCTCTTAGCCTTGTTTGGGAAATGAAGTCGATGAGGGAAGAAAGGAAGAGAGAGAGCAAAAGAGAGAAAGGAGAGAGCAGAGAGGCGAGAAAGAACTGCGATTCACCAAGGCTAGAAGCTCTGAGGACTTCAGCAGGAACAGAAATCAGATTTTTAGCTTGTCAAGGGGCCAATACACTTGAGAAGTGAACTTTGCTTACTACAGAGACCACGCTGTGTGCCAGGTAGTGTGACAGCATGGTTTAAACAGATGGTGGGGTTTGTGATTTTCTTCATTTTCTTAACAAACCACCAGAAAACAAAATGGTTGATGATGTGACTGCCTGGTCATTAAAGCAGAGGATTCAGGATCTCTTTTACCAAAGCTGTTTCCCACTAATGTGGGGCCTGCCCCAATGTGTGTGGTCCTGGTCTCTGCACAGCTGACTCAGAAACAGAATGAGGACTCTCGCTGCAACATGCTGACATCTGACAGAGCCCTTTCTTGATCTGTTTTAGCTGGATCCTCTGAACCCTCTTCCCAATTAGACCTTGACCTTTGGACTTCAGGGTCCATTTAAAAGAAAGGATGTAACATTGCATTAGAACATTAAATGTTTCAGATGTGCATCTTTGAAAATAAACATGTCACTTCTGGATTGCACCTATTACACAAGAATCTTGCTCAATCACCTTACCAAGAATCCCCCACCTGATCACATTTGAAAGCTGATCAAATTCCTTGTGCCCTTTTATCCCCCAGGTGATGTCTGATCTTCAGGCCTGACTTTGGCAAGAATCCAGTCAAGTTGGTTTGGCCAGAATTCCCCTTTACACTCTGATATGACCCCCCTCAGTAATTTTCCACCCACCGACTCCTGCAACCTTTTCTTGGCTAGGCTATAAATTCCCACCTGTCCATATTGCATTGGACATTGAACCCAGTTTTATACTTAGATCACTTTTCTCCTATTGCAATAGCTCCTGAATAAACCCCTGCTTAACACTTGACTGTTCAACTCTGGTTATCTTTAACACATCACACTGACATGTTCTTACACTGAGTATCTCCTTTTGCTAGAACTCTAGCATCTCACTGCCCTGCACTCACCCCTTCCTTCTGTGATGGGAATATCACAGGAGCTACAATCCATGATGGTCCCAGGAAGTTGAGCAGCAGAAGCATGTCTCCTACAGGGTGAGTTTTAATACTGCGAGTTGGATAGAACCCAGACCCTTAACTGGGGAACACGATGTACATTATTATACTTGTCATCACTGGCCAGAACACAATTGTGACTTGGTCCCATCAGGGAGAGAGAGACATTGGGTGTGGAGCTTGGGAACACACAGAGGCTTTGTCTGAGTGTCCGGCAACTCAGTTGCTATCATATTATTGTTTAATTGAAAGTTGAGGATGGTATAGCTAAAAATCTGTAACCCCAAGGTCAAAGTCTTACAGAAGGCAGATGTGCTCTGGAAATTAAGATTGAAGGGTGAATGTGAGGAACCATTTAGATTTGTTTCTCTCAGATTTGATCAACCAATTCATTATTATTTCCCTTGCAATAATTAAAGAGTCTTATAGTTATTATTTTTGGAATTTCTATAAGAAAAATAGCATTTAAGCCTAGCATGGGGAAGTTTCAGGACAACTGGGGTGGATGAAAATAAGACCTTGAGTATTTTTAGAGATTAAAAAAACTCAAAGGAATTGGAATCTGAAAGATCTAGAAATCTAAACCATAGCACTAGAGGAAAAATTACACAATTCATTCACAATTCTTAGGGAAAATAACTTGCAACCTAAAATTCAATATACTAAGCCAAACAGGAAGTCTAGTATGAAGGTAGAATAATGCAGTTTCCAGGTATGCAAGCAGTCAAAAATAAAAGTTCATTCACTATATATCCTTTCTAAGAAAGCTACTAGAAGGCATACTTTGGGAAAATAAGAGAGCAAACAAAAAATGAAAATGACCTGGAATCTGGGAGACAGGTGACCCCTTACAGCAAAGCAATAAAGTTTCCATCCTGTGCTTGACATAGAGAACAACCAGTCTAGAAACAAAATAAGAATACAAAAAACCCCCGAAAACAAAATAAGAATAGTAAGAATACAGAAGAAAAAAAAAAAAAAAAAAAAAAAAAAAGAATACAGAAGATTATGAAAGACAATAGAAGGAGTAAATGATTATTTGATATACTGGAATGCTTAAAGAATCACTGATAAATGTTTGAATCTGTTGGAATATTTGGGAAAAAATAAATGGTAAATAAATAAAAACTCAGCAAATTCAAATAAATAAAACCAAAACCAGTAATTTTTTACTCCAGGTAAATTTGTTAAGAGAAAGGAAATAGAATTGATAACAAGGCCCTATAAGCAATATTTACATATTTGTAATATAAATACCTATTGATATAACTGTATTTTGTGGGTGAGAGAACAGAAAGGATCAGGGTGTAAAGGAAAGAAAACCCTCAGAAGGAAACAAAGTGTATAATTAGTCTCCAATGGCTGTGTGAATTATTTACCAATATAGAAATATAAAAAAAATAACTTAAAAAAAAGTTAAACATGGTCTCCTCTGGTGAGTGGGATTATGGAATGAGGTAAGGTGGCAATTGGGGCTATTGTTTTTCAACAGAAGACTTTTTATGACTTGTGCAATTACTTTGTTAATTATAAAAACTAAATTAAAATTTAGAGGAATAAAGCACCACAGGCGGGTGACTTAAACAACAGAAAATATTGCCCCACAGTTCTAGAGGCTGCAAGTCAGCACTATTGGCTCCTTCTGCATGGAGACAAGGATCTGTTCCAGGCCTCCCTCCATGGCTTGTCGGTGACCATCTTCTTAAAAGATGTGTCTTCACATCATCCCCTGTCTATGATTGTCTCTGAGTCTAAATTCCCTCTTTTTATAAGGACACCAGTTATGTTGGATCGGATGTCCCTCGTGACCTCATTTTCACTTATTTACCTCCTTAAAGGCCCTCTCTCCAAACATAGTTGTGTTCTGAGGTACTAAGCGGTAGGGCTGCAACACATATATCTGGAGAGAACTCCACTCAACCCACAGCATGCGGGGATTGCCAGAAGCAGCCAGTTTCTGTGAGAAATCCTCTGTAATATTAGAAAGTCACTTAATTTTGGCTGAGTCCGCCTGGAGTCCTGGGAGGTCTCCCCCTCTCAGGAACACAAAGCTGCCATTCAAGAGGAGTGACACTGGCTCAGACGTGGGCTCCTACGCAGCCTCTCTGGAGCTGAGAACGCTCTGCATGAAGGGCAAGCACCAGCAGAAACAAGGATGAAAAGAGAGGGCAGAATGAGTGGCTGGTGGGACCTCCATTCTTCCGTGGCATAAACTGTACAGGCCTCCATATATTATGGAATAGAGTCTCAAAAACAGGACTTCACAGGACTGTGCCACCAATGACACTGGTTGGAGAGGTTTGAAAAGCAGAGGAATCCTTAATAAAGATGGATCTTTATATTCTACAAATTCTGTCCTTCTTGCTGTCTGTCTGTCTGTCTATCATCTATCTACCTATCTTTCTATTTATCATATATATTTTGAATTTTATGAATAGCTCAAATTTGTCTTCAAGAAATGTGTCCTTACAGCCGCCACCCATTCCTGTTCTGCAAACTTTAGGGCCAGCTGACATGAATGGATCAGCACTCACCTCTGCCAGGTACTGGCACAGTCAGCATACACATCCAGACATAGTGACCCTGTGGGCATTCACGTCCTCCAGAGTCCAGGCTCTGAGCCACCTTGCTCCCCTCCCAATCTCTCTGGCACATCTACTGCAGAATAAAATGCTGGCCTCACAGTAGGAGCAGCTCAACCAGCATAAATTTGTAACTCATTATTCAGAGAAAAAATGTTTAATGAACTATGAAGCTAGCGTACAGTTAGATTTATATTGGCTGTTCACATTCTCATTGAGTTGCCTCTTCAAGTTTCCCAGGATGATTCTCTTTTGAATGTACTCAGACAAGAACGTAAAAGGAAATTTGATATTAATGTTGGCATTTATAGCTCACTGTCTTGCATGAAGCTCTGGGAATTAAAGAAGCTAGGTTGCTGTTGGTTGGGTTACTTTCACACTATTTTATATTTCAAATCAGTGTGTAGCTCTGCATATAGAAAGTGAAAGTAAGTAGAAGCACTGAGTATAGGAATTAATAGTGTGACCTCCAAATTTTAGGAAAATGATAAGGAAGTGCCAATGTCTAAGACTGAAACCAAAATGATATGTTGACTGAATGAGATTCATCATTTATAGAAATCATTCACTCTTAAGAGATGGTTTTAAACATTTTCCTAAATTGAAAGCAAGTGGTAACTGTCATAAAATCTTTCAAAACCAATCTCAGTTGTAATATAAGGTATTCCTGTGAAATTAAGTGTCACCATGCATGGGTGAACATTAGCTCTGTGTGTGTGTGTGTGTACTTGGGTGCGTGGGGGGGTGTTTATATAGAGTATGGAAACAAGATGTCTAATAATAGGAATTTGTCAGTGTAACTCTCCAACACTGTTGATGGGTTTGGCTTGTGTTGGAATGAAGTACAGTGTGGTGGGGTGAGATGGTCACTCTGGTAGGGTGGCATAAATGTGGAATGGTGTATGGTTTGGTATAGTGTACTGTGTGTGGTGTGGTTGAGCCTGGTCTGTGGTTTGATGTGGATTAAAGTTGGTGTGGATTGAAACTTGGTGATGGTTTGACCCCCTATGCTGATTATGTGGGAGGTGGGATGCTGGAATATGTGTGTGTGTGTGTATGTGTGTGTAATATGGTTGTAGCTTAGTTTAGCTTTTGTTTAGATTTTCTTTTGCTCTTTGTTTTGGTCTTTGTTCTAGTGTTTGTTTGGCCTTTGTTTTGTCTTTGTTTCACTCTTTGTTTAAACTTTCTTTGACTTTTGTTTGGTCTTTCTTTGGCCTTTTGTTTTAACTTTGTGTGGCCTTTTTGTAGTCTTTGTGTAGCTTTTGTTTTTAAGTGGATCTTGGCTGAGAACCCATCAAAAACACCTTGTGTAATGAAAAACCCGGATATATAATCTCTCCCTATATATTCTGCATGCATTGAGGTAGGCTTAGCCCCCCCAGGGACCTGGTACAGACGTGGAATCTGTTTCACACAACTGCTACTTGAAGGTAAGGGACTCACACTGGTTCTTATCTTACTTCATGTACTTCAGGTGGCGAGTGCACATTTTTGCAGGGGCTATTTCATTGAATTCCCTGGGAAACTTGCTATAATATCAGTCAAACTGGGAGGACATAAAAGGATGGCGAAAAGAAGAACAGAGACCACCCAGGTTATTTTGGTGTGGTCAGAGGACCCTCCTGGAAAGTTCTGGCTAATGTTTGGGAACTGTCTGAGCCTGGAGAGAGGCTCCTATGCCTAACTCAGATTCTCTCAAGTTTAAAGCCCCTTGATCCTAGAGCTGGAATCCTGGAGCTATTGGATTCTACTTTTTCTATTTCTATTACTTTTTGTTATGATTTGAAAATGAGTTTTTCTTCTTATCTAAGAACAATTTCTTCCCTCATATAGCTGGGTTTATGTGTGGGGAATGCTAATGGAACAACAAAGTCTAAATCTTATTAGACTGTCGTTCCCTGTAGACTAGCAACCTTACATGGAAAGCTGCGTATGCTTTGTCTGGTACAGAAGCTCTTAGAAATCACAGAAGCTTTTTTAGGGTTTGTGATTGAAAGAGACAGGAAAGAAAATATTAAGTGTCAAGGGGAAAAGTTGGCTAATGCTAGGAGGAAAATGAGGAAAAGAAATTTTAATGCTTTGTGACTCAAAGAGGGAGGCAGAAAACAGACTACTGTCAGATGGTCAGTGAATGGTATCATATGTTTATTTTGAATAGCAGGCAAATGCCTTGATGGATTTTAAAACTTGTTCCAGATGTACAGAAAAATGGTGGCCAGTACAAAAATTTCAAGTGTGCTTGATCACTCAAATGCTGATATTTTACCGTATTTGCTTATTTGCTTTATCATTCTCTCTGTATGTACACATATATATTCTTTTTCAGAGCTATTTGGGATTAAGTTGCAAACATGCTCAAAATCAGAGTTAACATGGAAAAAATACTATTCTCTGTAGACATCTAGGGTTCATCAATCGTTCCAGGGGCCTATCCAGGGCCTGGCATCACCTCTTATT